ATATATATCTGGATTCGATCACTGGATGCTACAGATTGGCTTGGTGGTCTCCTGGTGTTCTACAAAACAGCGTCGGAGGCTTTTCATCTCCTGGCTGACTGACCAATTTGATGGATGGCCGTATTCTATCAGCACTTGGACATTTGCCTTGAGCGAGCTGGACTCAGTCTGCAAGCGGTTCTATTGAGGGTCGCAGGCTGGTTGTGGTCCCTGGACTTTGTTGGCCAGATGGAATTGATCTTGGAGAAAACTGATATATCGGCTCAGCAGAATTTGTCCACACTATTTGTCTGATTGGATTCGCCACCTTGAGATGTACCAGCACACATTAAGCAGATGGAAAATTGTTATCGTCTGCCTGACGCTTCTGTTCCCAAAATAACTGATTACAGAATCTGTCTCCCCTACATGGCCTTGAGCTGTTAACTAAATTCTTCCTGGTTGGATTACGTCAACAAGGTTCTGCCCCACACACACACACACACACACACACCCCACTCCCTCCTCTCACACCTGTGTGATCTGGTTTCCTGGAGCAAGCTGTAGGCCGCACAGAATGAACAGTTATCATCAATACTGGTTTTGGGGACTGGATTCTTCAGGCCCCCCTAAACTCACTTACTCCTCTGGCTAATAAATCTGCCCTATGCAGAGGTTTTTTCATAAACACCACAGTGTGTCACAGTGTTGATATAATATGATGTTTTAGATTTTTCCTCATCTTCCCTTGTGTGGTTTTTAGTTTTTCTGTTGTTAAAGGTAGCGCAACTATGTTTGCTGCATGACCTGTTTCACCTGTTCCCCCATGTTTGTCTTATATGTCTTCTTGAATGGGTGTTTCTTAATCTGCCCCCTCCCCCCTTCCCTGAATGTACAGCACCTTGTGAATTTATTTCTGTGAAAGGCGCTATACTTTTTTTTACTATTTTTGAGCATTGTAACGTTAACATCTGTTTTTGAATTCCACAGCACTTTATTTGTCAGAGAGAGGAGTTTGAGATAGCCAGAGATGGTATTTTAGTCTGGCTAACAGAAATGGACCTTCAGCTCACCAACATCGAACACTTCTCTGAGTGTGACATTCAAGCCAAGGTCAAACAACTCAGGGTAAGTTTGTCACTAGATCTTATTGTAAATTTGAACCAAGTAGATATGTACCTTAAAGGGATCCCCGATTAGTTGTAAAATTAAACTTTATTTGATAAACATAAATTTTAACTGTAAAATAAAGACTGTAAAAATACTGTAGCCTATTTAGTTTTGTAAATTTTTTAAAATATATTTTAACACGGACGGAGCCATTTTATTTACACACAAAGCGTTCTGGGTAAATGATGACGTGGATAGTGTGAGGCTGCTAGCGAGCTATATCCACCCTGAAGGTTAATCTTGGACAATATCTAACGAATGACTCTTTTAAATGAAACCAGAGAGCGTTGTAAAAAAAATGGCCCCATCCGTGTAATATATTTTTAAACTTTTAGTTTAAAAATTATAAAAACTGAACAGCCTACAGTATTTTTACAGTTAAAATATATGTTTATTGAATAAAGTCTAATGTTACAACTAATCGGGGATCTCTTTAAATGACTGACCTCTAAAATAAAATGTACTTATCACGATGTTGGTAATTGTAGTTTGGATGCGTCTGTGGCAGAGTGGTTAAGGGAGTTGTCACGTAACCGGTGGGTTGCCAGTTCAATCTCCCTTTCCATCTGCCTCAGTCGTTGTGTCCTTGGGCAACACTTCACCCAGCTTGCCTACTGGTGGTGGTCATCATCAGAGTGTGAATGTGTTAAAGATTGGGGCGGCTGTGGTGTAGTGGTTAGGGGAGTTTTTCCGTAAACCAGTAGGTTGCCGGTTCGATCCCCCTTTCTAGCTGTCTCAGTCATTGTGTCCTTGAGAAAGACACTTAACCTTCAAGACATTTTACCCACCTTGCCTACTGATGGTGGTCAGAGGGTCCGGTGTCACCGGTACATGGCAGCCCTGCCTCTGTCAGTGTCATTGCATGAATGGGTGTATGAATGGGTGAATGGCTGTAAGTGTAAAGCACTTTGGATTCCATAGGGACTTGATCAGGGGCTATACAAGTTCAGGCCACTTATCATTTACCATTTGTTATCCTCCAGTCGTTCCAGCAAGAGATTTCTCTAACTGCTGCCAAGATCGAGCACATCTTCCAGCAGGGTGAAGCACTAATAAAGAAGAGTGAGCCTATGGATGCCGCTGTCATCGAGGAAGAGTTGGAAGAACTTCAGCGATACTGTCAGGAAGTGTTTGGTCGAGTCGAGCGCTACTACAAAAAACTCATCCGCCTTCCAGTAAGACTTAGAGCACCAAGAAGATTTCATTTTTATTAAACTGAACATTTGGTGTCTTAAATTACTCTGAAGTATATCTTTGCTGAACGATATTCCTTAGCTTGCAGATGATGATACTGATGTGTCGTTTTCTGACCGTGAGCTGGATCTGGACGAACCTGGAGATTTGTCCAGCCTACCGTGGAACGAGCGTTTGGGGGATGGCTTGTTGTCACCCCTGCCCTCCTCTGGTCGTTCAGCCTCCCTGGCTGTGCAGCTCCGTGCCGAACGCTCCGGCAGGGACACGCCTGCCAGCGTGGATTCCATCCCCCTGGAATGGGACCATGACTATGATCTTAGCCGTGGTCTGGAGAGCGCCAGCAGAGCCCTCAAAGAGCAGCAGAGTGAGGAGAGAGACTTGGTCCAGTGCCCTGCCTCAGACTTATCCGGTTAGTTTTCTTTTATTGTTGTTTGTTAAAGTTGCAGCAGCTCAGGAAACCAGAGATCCTGTATTTTTTTATCTTGACTCTTTTTTTTAAAGCCTTTGCTAATCAAATGTAAACATTTCTGTTAAATGTTTCCAGTAACTTTTTGGTCTAAAACCAAAGGAATCCCTTCAGTAACTTTTCTTTTTTGCTACAGTGGGCCTACCTCCACAGTTGAACAGAAAAGGGTTAATGTTATGTTCTCACCTCTAAAACACTAAGAGAAGAGAGAAAAAGCTCAAACACAACTTCACAAATATATCACCAGTTGTTGAGCTGTTTGAAAAACTTTAGTCAACACCCAACCCTAGTTTCCAGATAACAGTTCCTCACAAATTTGGACTTAGTTTAAAATACTAGAAAAAAGTTGATTTGTGAATTTTTTTTTTTGAGACTTTATAAATTTCATTTAAAGGCAACAAATTCTATATACAATAAAAATGCAAATCACAAATAAAGGATAATTTAATGATAAGAAAAAAAATCTTAAGCTACGTTCACACCAAANAACAAATTCTATATACAATAAAAATGCAAATCACAAATAAAATGAAAGGCAGCAGAAAGAAAAAAAATCTTAAGCTACGTTCACACCAAACGCATTTTGAGCAGCAGGAGTGGCTGGTTTACATGCAGAGTCTATGGTGGATGCACATCTAGGGTTGTGGTGTAGTGCAGGAGGTGCAGTTTGAGTGTTTGACGTTCATGCAGCGCGTCCAAAGCAGCCGACGCTCGAGTTCAAAAATCTGAACTTTTGCTGCTCGACGCATCTCATCAACCAGTCAGAGAGACTCTGCTCTGTAACGGAGCGTTGCATTTTTCCACGTGACAGTTTCCTGAATGTTGCCCACTTACCTGAAACAGACAGAAAGGAGATCTTTAGCTGAAATCGGTTTTCTGCAATTGGTGTTCTGGCTGGAGATATCAGCACCAATGTGGGTCAGCGGCTCGTTAAATTGACGTGTTAAACTGGGCTCAGGACAAAAATAGTTCATCAGCTCGCAGCTCCTGGAGTGGTGAAACCCACCAAACAGACCGCCTCTAAATTATCTGGTCAGGGTTCCTGCGGATCGTTAAAATGTCTTAAAAGTCAATGAATTCATCAATCCAAAATTAAGGCCTTAATTGGCCTTCAAATGTCTTAAATCAGTCTTTCAGAAGTCTTAAAAATGTTAACACATTGTAAATAGGATGATTGTTATTCATCTCAAATATTAAAATAATTGATAACATTTATTCATTTTTTAAACATTCACATGCAGACATTCCTCTTTGACATCACTTCCTGTTCCTTCACATGCAAATTTCTCAACAACCGTCCATCTGAGCATCGTGAAATTTGTTTCATAATATGTTAATAATGTTGTCTTTCCAAAAATGTATTCACATTTCTTACAAAAGAAATGATGTCACTGGCACTTTAAGGTGTCATCTACAGCAAATTGGGGTCGAGACCCCACTGTGGGTCCTAAAACTCCAAATTTTGGGTCGTTAGTTTAATTCCTGGAAATCCTCTAAGTTTAAAACGGACTTCTAAGAATGTTTTTGCTATATCTGAAAAAAAGCAGTAAGATATGGTTAAAAACAATTGGCCTATTAGGAATATTTGAATACTTCAACCAAAAATACTTTTATTCATGAGTTTCTGCCAGGTTTTTTTTTTTTTTTTTTTTTTTTTGAGAAAATAATTTAATTTCATTTGGCATTAAAGAGTCTTAAAAAGTCTTAAATTTAACTTGCCTTGAACTGTAGGAACACAACTGGTGAATTAATTATCTGGTGAGTGCAACATTCGCTTGTTCTCAGTAAATAAAGCAAAGCCATTTTCTAGTCTAGTCTTATTCCAGTCACGTAGCGCGTCCAACTTGAGGCGTTGTGCACGTTTTAGCTGCTGAAAATGTGTTCGGTTTGAATGTAGCATTATATCTGCCCCATTTCCCCCACCCCCCAAAAAAGAATAAATAAGGATAATTAAGGATGTTTTATATAAAGATGGAAACTGAAGTAAGTTTGAAATTCTGGGTAAATGAAGGATAAGAACAAGAAGAGAAAGATTATACTTTTTCTTACAAAGTGACAAATCTTAAGGCTGCTAAAAATACAGAACAATGTAAAGAAGCTGTTAAACCCATGAAGGTCACCTAAATATTTTCTTGTTGTCTTTTATTCCAAGATCCAGTTATAAAACAGTGCATCATTAAGGTTGAATACAGCAGATCACTCTGAGGTTCATACCTTCTGAATGTGTGTACTGTACAACATTTCTTCCAGATGTAGTGATCCCAGAGAGCCCTGAGGCCTATGTTAAGCTAACAGAACACACACTGAGGTCTTCCACTGGTAGGCAACAGCAGAGCCCAGCAGACCTAAAATAACTAATGCACTAGTGATGCCACACTGGCTTGGTTGATTTGTGTTTATTTCCTTCATGCACTTTATTCTGTGGTCAGCAGCTACACTTTCTAACACAGAGGGAAAGGATGAATTCCATTTCCTCATTAACTTGGTGCTTCTGTGTTGGGCTCAAATTAAGAAGAACAGAAATGGAATTCAGCCAAAACCTTTTTTTCTAACTTGCTTTCTTTCTTTTATCGGACTTGCAGTTTGCTGTGCAGCTAAGACATTTGGGTTTTTATGTGTTTTTTATTTATTTTGTGAAAAGCATGTTCTGTTTATCACAGCAAGTGTAGATTCTTACAGAAGGGATTGCAGATTTGTTGTTGTTCCTACAGAGACAAAACGTCTGCAAAAATTCTGTCCTTCTAACCAAGTTTTAAAATCTTATATCCAGCCAAAAAATCTTTTTGATCTTGTTTTGAGATTGATTCACTAAAGAAGAGTAGAACATGTAAGATTATTAATTTTGTTAGCTTGTAAATTTGAGCCAAATTAAGTGAATTGATCTGCCAATTGAATAAGACAATTTCACTTGGTAAGATTTTTGAAATGAGAAAAAAATTGAGTCAAATTAAGTGATTTCAAGAATCTTACCAAGTCTTGTTAGTCTGAAAATTTGACTCAAATTACCGTATTTTTCGGACTATAAGCCGCACCCGCCATTTAAAAAAAACTGCAAACATTAACATGCGTATAAGCCGCACTGGACTATAAGCCACACCCCCAACATTAAGAAGAAAAAAAGACTGTACACCCAAAATTGTCGTCAAGAAAGTGAATTCAACATCATATTTATTATTTAAGAAAAAAGTTTAACTGACCTTATTTTGGTAGTTTTCTTTAACAGTTTCTGATCCAATAAAACATCAATGAAACGTCTCATTCATCGTCCTCCAGCGCACTGAAACCATCGAAGTCCTCCCCTTCAGTGTCGGAGTTAAACAAGCTGAGAAAAGCTGCGTCACACAGCGGTATCTGTTGTCCTCCCGGGGTAATGCTGGCTCTGAAGCTGTGGTGTCCTCTTCACGTAGCAGTCCAGCCTTTCAGAACCCATTGGTGATGGTGGACTTGTTCGCTCTGCTCCACGCTGTTAGGATCCACTGGCAGACATCAGGAAATGACGCTCTTCACATTCGGCCAGTTTTTGTGAATGATTTATCCCCGTCAGTCATCCAAGCCTCCCATTCACCCCTGTGTGCTGCTTTAAATGCGTGATTCACACTGATGTCCAGGGGTTGCAAAAACTTTGTTGTACCTCCAGGAATAACAGCAGGAATTGAGTTTGTTTTCTTGATGGCTGCTTTCACCGAATCCGTGATGTGGGCCCGCATACTGTCCATAACAATAAATATTTCGTCGTGTCTGTCGAAGATTAATCCGTCGTGTCGTGTCTGCTACTAGCTAAAACAAAATGGTTCTTCTTCTTCTTCCTTTTTTTCGCGGCAGCCACACCTCCGGCTAAAGAGCCCCCTGGTGGCTGAAGAAAAAAAATCCATGTATAAACTGCACCGGACTATAAGCCGCATGGTTCAAAGTTCAGGAAAAAAGTTGCAGCTTATAGTCCGAAAAATACGGTAAGTCAAAACTTTCTGCCAATGAAGTAAGAAAATTTTACTTGGTAAGATTCTTGAAATAAGAAAAAATTGAGTCAAATCACATATTTCAAGAATTCTACCAAGTAAAATTTTCTTACTCCATTGGCAGAAAGTTTTGACTTGATTTGAGTCAAATTCAGGCTAACAAGACATGAGATCAAAAATATATTTTTTTGCTGGATACAAGTTTATAAGACTTTGTTAGACAGATATTTTTTGCAGGGTACTGGTAATATGATCCAGGTCTGGGTCCAGGAGGATTTCTCAAACATCAATAATAAAACAATCTGCACTCCAGTTCTTCTCATCCTTGGTTCTCCTCGTTTTGTGTTTCTGTTTAAGCAGGTCTAACTTCTAGTTTAATTTGATTGTGCGTTCTAGTTCAGTCAAGAAATATTTTTTCTTTTCTCCTAACATGATTTTTGTTGTGCCAACAGGAGAGGCTTCCTCAGCAGGATCTCATGTTCACTCTTTTGACATCAGTCACTCACACCTTCAACTGGACACCAGCAGCAGCCGTACCCACACCACCACTGAAGTAGATGCATCGTATATGGGCTATGTATGTCTAGTTCTGATACAGAAATGACTGAAACACATCTACATTATGTAACATATTTATCCTAAATTTGATCAATACAAGATATTTAATAATAACAGCTAGTATCAGAAGATCCATGTTCGACTTCTGTAGGGTAGTGTTACTATGTTAAAACACACACAGACAACCATATAATGCCAAAAAATAAAAAAAAGAATTGCATTCAAAAAATCTACAATTATATGCAGACAAGTAGTTTCAGGTTGTTAATTAAATTCCCAGCAAATGCTTTTTTAGTGCCAGGCAAAAATTCCTGTTGAAAGGATTTAATACAGATCTCGGTTCAAAACTGAAGTAGCTCACCATCTAATCTAGTCAGCTCAGCAGCAGACATGCAGGAAAGAAACTGGCCTGTGTGAAACGGACCCAATACCGCTGAGTTTTATCAGTGTGAAAAACAATCATAAATAGAATCAATGGGCCTCATGCAAGAACATGTTCGTATTCTTATCCTAAATTTCTCTTACTTTTGTTCGTACAAAGGGTTCGTACGAACATGTCACGTCAGATTCAACAAACTCTTCTATCTTCAGGAAACGTGTTGCGTAAATTCCACCTGTTCGTATCCAGCTGCTCGTGCAGGCGAGATTAGCATAATTACCAACCCAAATAC